TGAAAATTCTGCACAAAAATGAACGCCGTCTGAAGGAGCTGGTCTTCCAAACAGATGAGGACCACAAAACCAACCAGCGCATGCAGGAGCTGGTGGAGAAGCTGCAGAACAAACTGAAGACGTACAAGAGGCAAATCGACGAGGCTGTACGTACCCCGGACTTTAACTCTCCCCAGTTTCAGACGCACAATACTATGCGATGCATGCAAGTGGAAGGCCACATCTTTACAATAGACAGTGCCTCAAGTATATATTCGGTCACAAGCTGTGGCATCTCTAGTCACACGGCTTTAATAAGCTCCTGTTTCTGTTGACAATACAGGCACCAATGAACCAACAGCTATAAAACTGCCCTGAAAATAGGGGTTGCCCTTTGCAAAAACTCAGATCAATGCATGTTGTCCCCTCAGCTCTGCCCTCAGAAATAACCTCCAACATATGTGTGTGTAAAAGATATTATAGGTCCAACATTTTACTGTGCTCTTCCTCTGACTGCCTATATTGAAGGAATATAGTTAGATAGAGCTGTGCTAGCATTATCCAATGCAAAGAGTTGTTGTCAAAAGTCAAATGTTCTCGTGTGCCCAGGAGGAGCAAGCTAACCAGAGCTTGGCCAAGTACAGAAAGACCGTGCATGAGCTGGACGATGCAGAGGAAAGGGCTGGGATGGCCGAGACTGCTCTAAATAAACTGCGCACAAGGCACCGCATCTCCGCCACCAAGGGGTTCACGTCCGTGGAGATCATCCAGGTGTCGAAGCCTTCCAAGTCGGCTTCCGAGGAATAGACCTCTCTGCTCAGACCCTGCAGCAGGTAGGACTGAATATCTGCTTGCCTCGGGTTTATGATTTCATAAAGGAGCGATCGCAAGGGATTAGGAAAACACAGGTGGAGTTGCTAACACTAAATGACTTGGTGAATTATCTGAGATTGGTGACTGGGTCATTGCACGTGGCCCTTTTTGTGCGGGAAGAGGTGTGCTGAAATGGTATCATCAGAGTGGGGAGATATTCGCATTCGGTACAAGGGGAAGAAATGATCAGAATGGCCTGCTCCATTCTTGCTAGAGGAAGGCTGCTTAAGGGCTAAATCCTTCCTTCCAGACTGTAACCCAGCACACCAAGGTCCTTGCTAAGGAAAGGCCCAGTCAGAGGCACTCTAGTTTGGCTTATGTATTAATTTTCTAAATTTTTGAGGAGCCTCGCGGGCCGGATAGAATGGCCTGGCGGGCCACATCCAGCCCCCGGGCCGCATTTTGCCCACACCTGATCTAACTCCAGTCTCTTTCCAGGGTGTGTCACAGCTTCCCAACAGCTGCCCATCGCAAGACTGCTATTATAGTGATGAAAACAGCAGGCTAGAGCTAACAAGGAGAAGCCCACGTGGGAAGAGACAGACAGAGGGATGGAAACAAGGAATGTATGCAGCTCTGTTGGGGAGAGACCTACCTCTGTGTCACCCCGTGAGAGCTTGAAGCTGCGACTTCCCCTGCGTGTCCTGCACCATGAAATCATATAGGCATGTTTGCTGTCAGTGGAAAGGGGTCTGTTGTAACACAGACTTTGCATTTTCATGTCAAGGACGGAAGGTGTAAAGTGTCTGTGTGACCTGGGCTGTCTCTTGTAAATAATTGTTCACACTAATAGTCTTAATGCATAGTCTTAATAAAGCTTCCTGGATGAAAGAGAAACTCAGAAAAGCTGCTGGATTTTTTTTTTTGCTTGTAGAATGAGAACAGGGGGCTTTGGATGGTTATAAGGCAGTGAGACCTGTGCAGGGCGGGAGCGGTGGGAGTCTAGAGGCTGTGGGGACGGTTACGGGGGGAAGCATCCCTCATTCTTTCCAACACCTCCTCTCCCTATCACTTGCCAGGTGAGAGCAGACAGACAGAGAAAGCAGAGCAACCACCCAGCTGAGCAAGCTCACAGCATCCCCAATGGCTGGGAGAAATACATATAGCTATTAGCTATGCACACAACCTTGCTGAGTTCAAGAAGCAGCAAGGCTATAGTGCTGAATATTTGACACTTTATACCCAGTGGATCATGCCTTAAATCTGTTTCCAAAGATGCTCACTGAAGGCTTGGCTCAGTGAAGGGGTTGAGAATCCCAACTCCCCTTTCCTTTGGTGCCGGCCTCATCTTACACACAGCAACAGACCCCTGGCATTGTGCTCTGAACTGCACAGGGGCTAGGGCAAAGAAAGTGCACACCTGAAGACAGCACTTTCGTAAAGTTCTGAGCAAGCTGAAAAGCATTTGGATTATGTGCCCTTGTCTTCTACTGTAGGCTATGACCCCTTCACATATACTGCACATAAACAGAAATTAGAATAAGGCACAGCAGCTGTTAGACAGGCCCCAGCGACAGCTTGCTACGGAACTACAGGAGCAGAAGAGTGCCTTAAATTGACAGTTATTAGTTAAGAAATGCAAACATGGCAACTTTTTAACAGTCAGGGTGACTATTTGAGACGAATAAGGATGCTCTTGATCATTGAGACAGCTGCAATATTGATTCTGAAAATGGATTTCAATAAATTATGATAATCCACCTGGCTCCTTCTAGGGAAGTCATCAGCAGACGTAGCTTGGAAACATCTAAATGTTGCAGTATTCTCATTTTTTTTTTTTACAGAATGGCCAATGTTGTGATTCTTTCACTGTCCCTAAAGCGATAAAACACCAGCAGGCAGGTATTTTTATCCACAAATATCTATCCGTGTATATAATTACCATTTACGAATCCAAACATGTTTTGTACTTGCAGTTACAAAATTGCATGTGCTTGCACGTAATCTGCAGTTGCCTGCATTTAAAAAAAGACCCACCTGGATTTCTCAATACCTTCAAGTAAGACTTCCGCTGCACTCATATTTTTTTCTGAAAATCTCACAGTGTTGCCCTAGCATTATTGAAATTCCAGCAGTGTTAGCACGATTATAGTAAAAATGCCAGTGACAAGTCAGGACTAACATCTAATCTGGCCCACCAAATCTGGACATGTTAAAATGGTAAGAATGCTGCCATCCTGCCTGGACTAGGATTTCCATTTTGCACTAGTGACATATCTGAAGCAGCAGTCAATTTTCAGCAAATCTTCATTGGAGGCAAAGCCTTCATCTGTTGAGCATTTAAAACTCTAAACTCCCACAGAGTTTCTGGTTTGGCTGCTTTCACCCTTGCCTGCCAGTGAAAATAATTTTGTAAACCTAAAACTGTATTTAAATGCAATTTCGTCCCTATTATGTAATGGGATGTGACCTAGTTACATATCTTTAATCTGCACAACTAAACTGGTTGTATAATCAGACAGTAACAACAGCAGCAATTGCACATCTCAAAGAGTGGCTCTTAATTTTCTGCGCAGTCTGCTCAGCCCTTTTTGTATGGTCGTGTTACTGGACTTCACCTGTGATGGTGTTTATCAGTGAAACAGTATCAAAAAGCACTTCACCTTTTGAAAACCACAACCCTTTAAATCATGGATTTTCAAATGAAAAGAGGCAGCTTCACCCACAAAGAACTGGAGAAGAAATCCAGAGGTCACAACCCCCTTCCCTTCCTTTTGGCATAGGTAGGGGAAGAAGGGTCCTGAAAGACGGAGTTTTGTTAGAATCATAGAACCACAGAAAATTCAGGTTGGAAGGGACTTCAAAAGGTCACATCTAGTCCAACCCCCTGCTCAAAGCAGAACCAGCCCCACCTAGCTCATCCCAGCCAAAGCTTTGTCTACTCGGGTCTTAAAAACCTTCAAGGACGGAGATTCCAGCACCTCCCTGGGGAGCTGTTCCAGTGGTTTACTACCCTCCTAGTGAGAATTGTTTTTCTAAAATCTAACCTAAATTTCCCTTGCTGCAACTTGGGCCCATCGCTCCTTGCTCTGTCATCTGCCACCACTGAGAACCGTCCAGCTCCATCCTCTTTGGAAGCCCCTTCAGGTAGCTGAAGGCTGCTATTAAATCCCTCCTCGGTCTTCTCTTCTGCAGACTAAATAAGCCCAGTTCCTTCAGCCTCTCCTCATAAGTCATATGTCCCAGATCCAAACCATTTTTGTTGCCTTCCACTGGATTTCTCACCAATGTGTCCACATCCTCTCTGCAGTGGGGGGCGCAAAATTGGACATAGGACTCCAGATGTGGCCTTGCTAGTGCTGAATAGAGGGGGGGGAAATCACTTCTTTTGCTCTGCTGACGCTTCTACTAACGCAGCCTTGTATGCCATTAGCCTTCTTGGCAACAAGGGCACACTGCTGGCTCATATTCAACTTATTGCCCACTGTCACCCCCAGGTCCTTTTACATAGAGCTGCTGCTTAGCCAGTCGGTCCCCAGCCTGTACCAGTGCCTGGGAGTGTGCCGCCCAAAGTGCAGAGCTAACAGGGTCACAGCAGTGAGGCTGAAGTAGATTATTGCTCCCAAAGTTTAACTGTGTAAAGACAAGCTTTGAAAAAGGGACCGGGAATAAGGAACCGACTTCAGTCCGGAGAAAAGCCTGAGCACCACTGAAGGTAACAGGTGCTGTCTCAGGGTGCAGCCTATGTGCTGGGCAGTGAGGGCTGCATCCTGGACAAAGCCTGGCAGCCCCTGGGACATGCTGCATTGCCAGGGCTGACATACCTGCAACCCAGGAAGAGGTCAATGAAAGATGCATTGATTGGGCAGGGCTGAGGAGCCCTGCTCCTCCCCAGCCCCAGCTGCACCCCAGCACCAAATACCCCTGCAATGACTTGCAAAGGAGCAGCAATGCACTTGCAACCCCAACCCGCGCCTGCGCAGTACTCCCTCCCTTCACTACCCTCACTGCGCAGGCTCCACTTTGGCCTCCAAGCTGCCCGCACTGCGCATGCTCCTACTGTTCCCTCAGTCCCACACCGCTCGCCTTTTCCCCTGGAGAGTGCGGAAAACGGCTCGTCTTCTATGCGCATGCGCACGGCGGGGAAGGGGCGACTCCCGGCATCTCCAAGCCCTCCCCCACACCGCCTTGCCTCCCGCGCGCAGGCGCAGTGCGCCCAGGGGCTCCTGGCCGCCGCGCAGGCGCAGTGGCAGTTTCCTGGATCCCTTGTCAGTGCCGGGCCCTGCCGGCCGCTCCCTCTCCGGCCTCGCGTGGACTGACCAGAGTCCGCGGGCCGCCCTCCCCTCCCCTCTCCCTCACCAGGTAAGCGCCCTCCGCCCCCCTCACGACAGTGGGTCCTCTGAGGGGCCTCGCGCCCCTCCCCCAACCCCCGCGGGGGTGCGGGAGGGGGAGGGGCAGGGGGTGCAGCCCCTCCCTCCTCGCAGGGTGCATTGGGGTGCGGGAGCGGGAGGGGCAGGGAGGTGCAGCCCCCCCCCGTGTGGGGGTGTGTGGGGGGGTGCAGCCCCACCCCCTCCCAGCCCAAGGAGTTTAGGAGCGGGGCTGGGGGGGCCCCAAGTCGCCTTTGGGGGGTGGTCCTGAGGAGCAGGGGAGCCAAATGGGTCAAACGAGACAGGTGGGTGTAAGGGACGGAGGGCGCATCTGCGTCTTCGTCCCCGTGCGGCACGGCGCTGGAAATCAGCGCGGCGGGAGTGAGCGTCCAGTCCCCTACCCCAGGGAGGACGCGACGGGCATGGCGGCGAGTCTCCGGCTTTCTTGTCGTGGTCGTGTGGGCCCGAAGGGTCGCGACGCTGCTGGGCAGAGCGCACCGAGTGCCCGGGGAGCGGCAACGTCCTGTTTTGGGGAAATCGCTGGTGAGGGCTCGGCGGCACTGTGGGACTTGCAGCCCGCGTGAAGTCTGAGGGTTGTGACACGGCGGACGGCACGTGTTGGGTGCCGCGGGAACAGCGGCGTTTTGGAAAATAGCTTTTTCGGGAAATAGCCGCCTGCTCTGGGTGAGGGTACGAGAGCGCTTTGTGCGTCGCGGCGTGCCTGGTCGTGGTCCGCGTGCACAAGAGCGCTGGACATGGAGGGCCACGACGGTGCTGGATAGCGTGGGTTGAGTATCTAGGGGACGGAAATGAGCTCACCTGCCATGACAGCTCCGAATTAGTCGCAGGCTTCGTCTTAGTCCGTGTGCGTGCGAACCCGGGAAATTGAGCGTTGACGCTGCTGGACAGGGCGTGTTGAGCGCCGAGGGACCAGCAGCATCCTAGTAGAAAATTAACTGGTGGGGGCATGACAGCGCTTAATGAATCGCAGCCTTGTCTTAAGTCCACCGGCGTGCGAATGCGGGAAATCAAGGGTTGTGGCTCTGCGGGATAGAGCGCGTGAAGTGTCTAGGGAACGGCAGTATCCTCGAAAATAGCTTTTTTTGGCAGAGCGTTGTCTGACACGGATGTTATCGTGGATCGAGAATTTTGCTGCACGTCAGTAACGCTGAGGAGTTGTGGGATCAGCTGGTATGAATGAGAGCGCTGCCCTGGAAACAGCTGCGTGGTGCTTAGGGATGAGTATAGCTAAAAAATTGCATGAAGACTTTTCAAGGGGATGGTAAAAAAATAAATCAAGTCAGGAAAAGGAGATTGCAGATACCAAATGAGAACAGGGCATGGAGGTATTCTTTTTTTTTTTCTTTCTTTTTTGAGAATTGTTTTGATGACCCTCCCAAACACTACTGTCACTCGATACAAGTGAAGACAGCTTGAACATAAGCTCATCAGGAGGATTTATTCCCTGGAGGGACACTGTCAGTTGGGAAGAGTGGATCAAAATTCTCTTCCACCTTTGGGGAACAAGAGAATATGTTAGGTTAGTGCTGAATATGGGGGATCTGTCTAAGGTGAACAACAGTTGTCATGAACTTTTTTCATAAGCTTCAGGACCAAACACAAGGATCATGAGTAAAATGTATAAAGTCGATGTTATGAAGACAGGAGTGTCTCTCCAACACATGAGGCCTGTGTATTATGAAAGTATCAGATTATGGTAGGAACAGTGGTTTGAAATAGAAAAATAGCTATTTTTTATATATATTTGGCACTGTTATATTTTGGGAAGAGAAAAAAGGGCTGAGCAATCCTTGCTGGTGGAACAGCTTTTCCACATTTTCTGTATATGGAAGTGTAGTGCTACCAGCAAGCACTAATACAAGAACCTGGAAAAAAGCGATTTGCCAACACATTTTGCTTAGATTAACAAGTGGAATCTCAAATCATGGTTGCCCAAGGTCAGAGGTGATTCAAATTCTTGCTAATGAGTGTGAAGGCATAACACCACTAATTATTTTGGTAGTACTGGATAAACCTCTTTAATAACAGTTTAGATTCATATACTAGAATACAAACAGTAAAAGAACATGTTAGGAAGATCATGGGGCAGTTAAAATTACAGCTGGCATTTTATTTATATGAAGTTTTTAGCAATTTGTTTCCCCTCAGAATGCCCTTTTAAGAAGTAAATTTACCTGATGCTTTCCTAAGTGCAAGGTAATGTAGCATTTAAGTATTAGGAAAATAACCTGTTTTCAAAATATTTGCATTGTTTTAACGCGCTCTGACTACGCCTCAAGGCCATAGCACCTTTAGTACACTTGTTAAACTAGTGTAAGTTTAATGTCTAAACTCAGTAAGAAGTTTACTCATCTTTTAGTCACTCCCAAGTTTCTATTGGGTTGCCATTCATTTCCTGTTTGCTTCTGAATTCCTACCTTGCCCTACAGTCTCCACCCTCTGCTAACATGGCCATACTTGGGTATGTTGCCATTTCAGACTCTAATGGATGTGGGAGTCTTGCAATGACATCACTAGGATTTTTCTTTTTAGATGCATTTTGGGCAGGGGCGGGGGGTTGAACTGAGCCATTAGCCAAAGAGCAATTGCTATGAAAAGTAGTAGGAATGTGTGAACAATGGAGGGAACTGGCAAATCCAGTCATAGGCACTTAGGTGTACATATTTTGAATATTACAGGTGACTTAAATTGCTGTGATGTTATCTGCCGCCCTTTCTGGTTGTTTTTATTGTATGCTTTTGACAGTTGTGTGTGTGGAACATATTAACCCTGAAATTGCTTTCTATATGATTACCAGTATGCTTTTCAGTTGCATTTATTCAGTGGATCTGTTTTGACACAGTTGTAAATAAGGACAAAATAAGATTTTAACTTTACAATTAGTGTAATATTTACATAGTAGAACATATCACTGTAGTGTCTAGGTTTCTTGGGGGAAAAAAATTCCGTGAGCCAAGCATTTCCAGTTATTTCATAGCTAATTAGAAGTAACTTCTTAGTGTACACGTGTATAGTTTTATTGCATAGCGTGTCAAAATAATGTAGTTACATTTCAGTGAAATGTAAGTGCATCTATATATTAATCTGAAAATTATACAAGTCAGGAAATTAAAGGAAACTGAATCTTTCGTCTGTATGCTTTCATTAAGTAGGATCTCAGAGCAGTGTACCAGAATCTCCCTCGAACTAGATAATCTCTTTCTAAAATTGTTCTAGTTTCATCATAAAATTATTTAGGTTTATTTAGACTGGTGGTTTTCAACCTTTTTAGATTTGGTGTACCCCTCAATAGACTTGAGACACCCCTTGGGAAATGCCATCTCTTAGTTTTTCCTCTTTTTTGACTACAGAAAAATAATAGAGCAATTCTTCTGTTGCAAATAACTTGGACCACAACAGGTCAGAATGTTTTTGGCACTGTGGATTCCTGCTTGAAAACACTGGGTTTATCTTATGAATCATGCTTGCACACCTGCGAGTGCCGAGATGGCGTGGCACGCCATGGAATCCTTGACAGGATCTCGGAGCACCGCTGGGTGCTGTCACACCCTGGTTGAGAATCACTCATTATTTAGACATTTCAAAACTCTGAGATGGCCTGGCCTGTCTTTCTTTTACCTGCCAAGATATGTGAAGAAGCAATAGTTATTTCCAGTTCTTACAGAGTGCTCATTATCTTTTATTTTAAGCACAGAAAAACAAAATTAGTTTGCATACCAAAGTAAATAGGTTCTTTACACATACTGAGATAACAAAGGCAGCTTTCTGTTAAGAATCTGTACTCCTACTCCATTAGTAGTCATCTTGCACAAATAAACTACAGTAGTGGATGGGAGGGAAGAACTTTGGCAAGTGTTTAAAAAATATGGCTTGGCATAAATATGTCATTTAAAATGTTATTTTTTCACTCTTACATCTTTCAGCCTTTTCACTTTTAAAACATCAGGATATCCGTTATTCAGAATGTCCCTACATCAATTTTTACTAGAACCAATAACCTGCCATGCCTGGAACCGAGATCGTACTCGTAAGTACCTTATTTTTATTTTTTTCCTTTTATAGTTACTTTGTGCGCGATGCAAAACAATATATTTATAGAAATTTGACCTAGAACTTTGAAAAAGAAAAAAATTATCCAGTAGAACATGGCATCAATTATGAAACAGTATTAGATGCATGTTGTTCCTCCTGCCTGCTCCTTCCAAAACTACAAGATGAGCTATGATCTTTTAAGTCCTTTACTAGATTTTTGTCATATAGGAGACTAGTCTTGCAGATCATTTGCACAGGTGTCCTGAGAGCAAAATCTTAAGAATTAGGGTAATATCAGCTGCCCTGCAACTTCAATTGCACTGTTACCTTCCGCTTACTCTCATTTTTAACTCTCTTTTCCCCTGCGCTAGATCTAGCTCTTAATACCCTAATTCTCTCCATTCTTATTTGGATTATAACCTTCAGTATTTTAATGTTTCTTTTGGAGTATTCGGTAGTCAGTCACCACACAGATGTAAAGTTATTTAGAGCTTCACCAAATAGAAGATTCCCTAAAATGCATTCTGAACTCTGGAAGCAAGTTTCTTTAGTCAGAATTCTATGTTCATGTGATTTAATCCCCCTGGCCAAATTGCCTGGTCTTTTATGTAACATTTTGAAACCAAGAAATGCAAACTTTTGAATGGAACTTCTTTGCATATAAAGAATTTGGGATAAAAATGACCTTGCTTACTTCTTGATTATCCCCCTGGTAGAGATTGCCATTAGCCCTAATAACCATGAAGTTCACATCTATAAGAAGAGTGGAAATCAGTGGGTGAAGGCTCACGAGCTGAAGGAACACAATGGACACATTACAGGTATGATGAGCCTCGTAATACAGTTATGGAAGTGATTCATTTTGTTCTTAAGGGTCTTAGAAACTGTATTTTGTAAGGTAAAATGTGAAAGGAAGATAACAGAAAATAACTCTGCAAGATCCTTTATATTCTGTTGAAAGGTAGCTCTTATTGCTACAGTTAGTCCTTGATGTTTGCTGCAGAGTGGAAATTCCACTGCAAATTGGTTGAATTTTATGAAAGAAGGTTTTTCATTATAACAATACAGTATTCTTTTTAATACTGAATTCAGCAATATGCTGTCCCTGTATTTAATTTGTATTGACCCAGACTTCTGTACTGGTAGTGCCATTCTGTATTGCAGAAGTAGGTAGCGAGGAAAGCCGGAGTTGGTGAGGTTTGGCGGCTGGATAAAAGGTTGAAATGTATTTTGGCACAAAGGGAGATATGTACATGTAAACACTTAAATTGGCATCTCTAGGTTTCTGTGCATCTCTAGGATTGTCCTGCATTTGCCTTTTAAGTTAAATTTCTTGGTGCTTTTTTGTTTTATACTCAGAACAAATGTAACTAGTTAAAATAGGCATTAGCATTTGCTGTATCCATACCAGCCACAAGCTGTTCTCTGCCTACTGGTGGCTACAAATAGCACCAGACAACAACTGCGCACCAGAATGAACGCACACCGGAAATCCATCAAAGACAGAAACACCCAATTACCGGTGGGGGCACATTTCTCACAGGAGGGCCACTCTCTCTCCAATCTCTCAGTCCTGATCCTCAAGGGAAATTTACACAACACTTCCCAGAGACGAGCCTATGAGCTGCATTTCATCAACCTGCTGGATACTAGAGATCATGGACTAAACATAGACATTGGATTTTTGATACATTATAATCTGCCTGGCAACTGACTCCCCAGCCCAGCCCAGCCCAGCCCCTGGCTTCTTTACTTTTCATTCCATCCAGGAAGAGCACACACCAACTGCTGCAGCTTCCTGAGCCTGACGAAGGGTTTTTGAACCCGAAAGCTTGCTTAATAACTATTCTCCAACCATTTGGGTTGGTCTAATAAAAGATATCAAATTCACCCAAGGAACCTTGTCTGCCTATATCCTTAGACCAACACGGCTACAACCTAAACCCCAATAGCACTTTGTAGCACTTTTGCCAAACTTGCCTGCCTCTTATTAGCAAGGGCTTAACAGTCTACGGTCTTTCATGAAAACCGAATGTTTTACCTGGTTTAATGGACAAAAGATTTGGCATCCTCCAGTGGCAATGCTGCACATTTTAGTTGTACATTTTGCCACTAGCAATAAGCCAAATGTCTCATGTCTTGGGATAAAATTTCCCCTGCTTTTTCTGTGTTTATTACAGAAATCAATATTGCATAATACTGTTGTTAACATTAAAGTATTAGGGCCTGTGATGTTTTAAATGAAGAATTAACATACATCTTAATATGAGCTATTTTGCTATTTTAACATTTAAAAACTTGTTTTTAAAATGAGCTAGGGAAGCTTTGGACAGTAAGCTTTCTAAAAATAAAAGTTCTAAAAATATTAGGTCTCTGATTCTGCCATGTTTTTCCTCTTGAGTTTTGTTTTTGTATCTTCCATTCTCTTTTTCCTAATGGCATGCTCAAGGAATAATCTTTCAGTACTGAAATAAAGCTGTTAAGGAAAGTCTAAATATAACTTTGTGACAGGAGACTAAGGATTGCGCATACTGTCTTAAAAAAAAGATGCTAAAGGAAAGAGAGGAAATAACACTGCTAGGAATCTTCCCAATTGAAAACATCCATCATTTCATAGGAAGACAGAAAAGGTTGGTTAAGTGGTTTATAGCCTGTATTTGCTCTTTTGCATTAGTATGGAATGCTATGGCACAACTTAGAGGCATGAAGCAAACATAAATATTGTATTACTACATAAGGACTGCTAATTCTTTGTAAAAGCTAGCACTGTCTAATTTTTAGGCCCTGAATGCGTGGTTTGGCAGCAGCAAGTAGACAACTATGCTGAAGCTTTGGGAAAAGATTAAATTTACTGATTCTTTAGCTATTGAAATAATGGGCCTCTTACTGAAATCAGTTGATATTCAGAATGGAGATAGCGCGGATAGTATGTCATAGAGCAATGATTCTCGGCTACAGTGCTCTGGCCCGCTGGGATGCCTTGATCTTTTTCAAGGGTGCTACAAGGTGCCATACAGTGTTAATGCTGTTAGGTGTGCAAACATGACGTCCAGATAAACCTAGAGATTTCAAATAGGAATCCATAGTATCAAAACCATCCTTCCCTGTTGTAGTCTTTCTGAGTTATTTGCAACAGAAGAACGGCTCTATTATTTGTAGTCAAAAACTGAGTGAAAGCTAAGAGCTGGCACTTTCTGAGGGGTGCCTCGAGTCTATAAAAAGGTTGAAAACCACTGTCACAGAGTCTGTTATGAGCACCACCTGCTGATCAGCTTTCAAAGCTTTTTCCTTATCCGACAACCTACGTTCCAAAAAAATCTGTTGATTGAAGGGGGATATGAATATGGAAGTCAGGAGCTGCAACTTTTTGAACATGATGGCTAAAGAATTAATGATCCGGGAAACCTTAAGATAATGTCTTGATGGCTGTCTTCATGGCAAAGGCAATAGATGTGGTTTCCATTCTGGGTTGCATCATGGTAAACGAGGGTTCTACGGGAACTGAAAGAAGGTATTAATATAAGGTCTTTGTTGCAGGTATTGACTGGGCGCCCAAGAGTGATCGCATTGTAACTTGCGGTGCAGACCGTAATGCCTATGTCTGGAGTCAAAAAGATGGTGTGTGGAAGCCAACCCTGGTGATTCTGAGAATTAATCGCGCGGCCACCTTTGTGAAGTGGTCTCCTCTGGAGAATAAATTTGCTGTAGGAAGTGGAGCTCGTCTTATATCAGTGTGCTACTTTGAATCTGAGAATGACTGGTGAGCAGACGAGACACATTTTCCATTAACACGTGAGGCAATACATTGACCTGTTTCTTTATTCCTTGCTGTATCCAAAAATACAGTTAGTTGACCACAGACTTGCTTTTAATTGCAGGGTTTTTTACGTAGGCTTTCTCAAAATGTTCAGTGCTGTAAAGGGTACATATTTCCACATCATGTTGTGTTTTAGTTAGGCAACCTCCATGAATAGCAACACAACTAATTTCATGGTTGTTGCCCTGAAAAATGTGTTCTTCATAGTATGTGTGTACCCTCTGCCTGGAGCCCACAATGTCTTTACTAGCAGTGTCCACTAGAGGCCACGCTGTTGTACTGTCTTCTTGAGATCATTGAAAGAACAGCAGCCACAACTGCTATTCAGCTTGAGAGTCAAAGCAATCACAGCATTTTAGTGACAGTGCTTTTTACTACTTTACTGTTTTACTTCAGTTTTTCTTTGCTAGTTGGCAAACACTTCATGTGGCATAATAAAAGTTAACTTCAGTTAGAAGAGCCGATTTTGGAATTCAGTCTTGTGGGTTGGGGAGTTGATCCCCTTGCTTTCTTAAGTTGTTTGTGCAGGAGAGCAATCCCCTTGCATGATGGATGTGATGTCTTTATCGTCAACAAGAAAGCTGTAGTCCATTGTAGAGCACAAACTGCAGATCCTTCAAGAAATGCAAGGAGAAGACTAGGAAATCAAGGCTGAAGCTTTTTTCTGACATAGAAAGCGATGAACACAAAGTTGAATTGAGAAGCACCTCACAGACATTAAACTCTGCCATTCTCACTTTTGTCAAGAACACAAAACACATTTAATGATTGTCATTTAAGATCTGAACAGACAACAAAATTCTCTCCTTGTGAGAGTGCTCACCAGAATAATTAGACCTGTGGCAGAAAGACTTATTTGTCACCCTTTTTTTTAAGATATGGATTGCTAGCTAACAAGTGGTTCTGGAAGAGTACAATACTTTCAAGGGGACAATCAGATTTTATAGTGAAGTTTCCAGGAGAGGTTACATAAGAGTCTTATGTTTTTGGGTCAGCTGTTTGCAAAATTTCCTTACAGGTGTGGAATGCAGCTAGCACAAGTGTATGTTCATTTGCCACAGGGATTGCCAAGTGAGACTTTACTATCAGCATCTTGTCTCCCCAAAGAAGTGCAGACAGCTGTTTAGGACTTGCCTTTTAGTGGTAAGGACATACTCAGGGGAACAACGGATAAGACTCTGTACTTTTGGGGAAAACAGTAGAACCAGGCTAAGATCCTTGAGTCTCAGGAACGAAGGCACACAAATCACAGCTTTTTGGCAGTCATTTGCTCCTTCTTCATACATCTATTATTAGAGGTCTTCTGAGCAATTCCAGAAGGGAAAAAACTACTTCATATTTGACTGTTGTGTGCCAAGCCAGATAGGCTCAGAAACATCAAATTCAGTTTGACAACTAAGCATACAAGATCAGTCTATTTAGATTTATGGCCATTTCTTCCCCACCCATCCATTTTCTGCCTCTCCCTCTACTTCCACAGAATTACAACAGAGTACTGGGTCTTGCTAGTCAGTCAGAGGACTATGCCATTCAATCACAGATCCATATTTCATATCACGCCATATCCCGGCTCTCTGAAAAGGTACAGAGAAGGGCAACAAGGATAATTTGTGGAATGGAGGGGCTTCCATATAGGCAGAAACGAAAGATGCTAGTCCTATTCAGTTTAGAAAAGAGGTGCTTGGTGGGGACACAGTAGGGTTTACAATATACTAAATGGTAAAGAGAAATTAAATAGGGATTGATTTACTCTCACAAGACGAGAACTAGGGGTCACCAAATGAAACTAGTAGGTAGTAAGTTTAAAATTAACAAAGGAAAGTTATTTTTCACACACTGTGCATTTAGAGCATGGAACTCGTTGCCACCAGATGTTGTGAAAGTTGACAGTTTAGCCAGATTCAAAAAGGGATTGGAAAAATTGTTGGAGGAAAGGTGCATCAGTAGCTTTTGAGCATGGGAGTTAGGGTTACAGCCTCTGATTCAGAACTTCCTAGACTTTAAATGCTGGTGGCTGCAAGTGAGAGAAGAGAAAAAGCCCTGGTCATACCCTGTTCCCTCTCCCTTTCAACATCCACTTTCTGCCACTGTGTGACAGGAGACTGGACAAGGTGGACCTTCGGTATGACCCAGTAAATAGCAGTTATGTTTTTATAAATGTGGCTTTTAATTGTTTTGTAGTTTATAACATTCTGAGTAGCTTCCATCCAATATGAGTTTGTACAGCTTTCATAATAATTGGGGATCCAAGTTTTCCGTTCGCAATGGAAAAACACAGCAGAACCCATTTTTCTCATTTTAAGAAAAACAACCTGGACTGTTTTCTTTTAAAAGAGAAACCTGTGGGAAACAGTGGGTTTCCCCTTGCAGGCTGGCAGACTTCCAGCCTGCAAGGCGCTGGAGGGAGCCGGGGAGGACGATCCAGGCAGGGGTGCCAAGTGCATGTGCACATGTTCGCATCCACATGGCTGCCAGGCAGCCTGGAGAGCAGTTCCCACAGGTGAGTCTGGTGGTGGCAGGGGCTGGAGGCTAGGGGCAGTTGAGGACCCATAGTGATGGAGATGGGCAGGTCTGGGGCTGCTTCCCAGCCCAGGCAGTGTGTGGGGCCTGGGGCCTGAGGCTGGGCCTGGAATGCACAGCCACAGGGCCTTGGTGGGGAGTGGGACAGAGCCACAGGCAGCTTGTCGAGGGGCTGTGTGTACTCCTGAGGGGCATGGGGAGCATGTGCCTCCCAGATTTGTGCATGGGGCAAGGATGGAGGTATGCTGGCAGCTGCAGGCTCAGGGCTACCCACCCTACTGCCCTTCCCTTGGGGTCTCCACGACCCAGCGGGCAGGACCCAGCATAGCAGGACAGAGCGGGGTGGGGAAGCTCAGTGCCCCATGAGCCCTGTGCTGTCCTGGTGAGGTGCCCCCTGCTTGCCTGGCAGCAGTGGGGGTGTCAGCGCAGAGTTGTGCCTCTCACTGTTCCCAGGCGGGCCAGGGGTGCCTCACCGTGATGGTGCGCAGCTTGCAGCTCAGGAACAAGCTTCCCTGCCCAGCCCTACTGTGCCCTGCCGTTCCAGGTCTTGCCTGCTGGCCTGGTCGGAGGTGGGTCTTAGGGTTTTTATCAGAGAATCTGAGGTTTTTAAACAGAGTAAGCCAGAATCCCTGTAACAATTATGAAATAAAATGATCAAAAAAATTAGTAACCAGTAGAAAACGCTTCAAAATTCTCTGCAAAAAGGGTGTACTCATAATGTCCTAGAAAAGAAGGTAATTGCTGCTGATCTTATGATTCAGCAGCGAGTTCCTGTTCTTGGGGGTCTTCCGAATGGGGAAGCTACTACATCAAAGTCAAGTTAGTGAGATCACAGCTGGAGGAGTTAGCATTGCAGTTTATTAAAGTGTTCAAAAAAAATTGGTTTCAAAGGCAGATCTGCCTCGGTACAGAAGTCTGTTTGTGATTTTTTGATTGTAGTAATTGATGCCTGACAGTACTACAGATTCATGAACTGGATTTGTGGAATCTGTAATCTTTAATGCTTTTTTAAAAATGATTTTATAACATTTCAAGCTGAATAGAAGGTGAAAGGAAGGAGCAAAATGTCAGTTCTGTTACAAGGCTGGTATATTTCCAGTCACGTGCCAGGGAGATTTCAGATGTAGGAGTTCTGCTGCCTGCTGTTCTAGTCTTTGGTTAAATGTATGTTTTTCTATAGAAAAGTTTTGTTTCTTTTTGTGTAGGTGGGTGAGCAAACATATTAAAAAGCCTATTCGCTCCACTGTACTTAGTCTGGACTGGCACCCCAATAATGTCTTGCTAGCTGCTGGATCCTGTGACTTCAAATGCAGGTGAGAGTCAGTAAAATATTTTATAAGAGGTTTTGTGTCAGTGGTTCAGATCATTGAGCAATAAGACTGTATTAATCCTGTGTACACCACCCAAATAGAAAACAGGCCATCGCATACTAAACTACAAATAGTTTTGAAAAACTGAAGAATCTTTGCCCCTACACCTGAGCTTTGGCTGTTTAATGTTTATCTGCACGAGTCAGTGTTACTCTCATAGAGTAGCGCTTTTATTTACAAGTTCTGCTTTCATGCTTTATATTCGGCTCCATGCTGCTCTCAGTGTGAAATCAGACTGACAGGCACCATGTATCTGAAATAGTCTAACAGTGGCCAGAGATCTTGGTGTAGAAGAACTGCACACTTGGGCCTAGATTGTCCAAGCCTGTTGGTACAAATGAATCTCTGCATGTAGTATCTGTTAAAATTAATGTGAATCAGTGTCAGGGTCCATCAGGGAATGCCCTGTGGAGTCAGGGACTACAGAGGCAACTGCACGGTGACAATATGTTGTTCATATTTTACATAGTCATCTGTACCTGGTTTAAAAAAAAAAGTGGGGGGGAGTTATTTATCTTATAAGGTAAGTATTAAAGCTTAGATATAGGATATGTATTCAAAATGGCTCCAAAGACAAAAATGCTAGGGCCAAATGTTATACACATATATGTTCGTACAAAATTAAATGCAACAATCACTTGAATTTTGAATGTTGCCTGTCACTTTTCATGCGAGTTCCTGTTTGCTGGACAAAGTCAAGCTTGTTTAAATTGTCCCCTCCATGTTTATTGGCTGTGGTACATATCAACATTACATGTCCGAAGCCACCCTCTTCTCTAAACAGTCTTCCTTTGCTCTCCAGAAATGGATGCATTCCAGGTGCAAGTCTGCTTTCATATGTATTTGTAACAGCGTGGGTTTGATTGAAATCAAATTGGTTTAAATCATGATTTAAATCACTGGTCAGGAAGCCTTTACTTAATTACTGTTTTCTGCAAAAAGTGCATTCTTGTTGTTTGATATCCTTTATTTGTATAACTTCTTGAAACTTCGCTCTTTTAGAGAAAGGTAAGGGCTTGGCTGTGTGCACACAAACTTGCAGCGAGACAATAGGGCTGATGGATGGGTAATCATGACTTATCTCTCATCTCCATATACTGCTGCTAACAAAGATGTTATCTCTGGAGACAACAAATTCTCCCTATGCCTAAAGAAGGGCGTTTGTGCCTGAAAGCTTGCAAAGAACAATTTTTTCCAACTATTTAGTTGGTCTAATAAAAGATATCACATCTTCCCAAAGAACCTTGTCTGCCTATGGTCTCTGGAGAGAGAAATCCCCAGTTTGAGAACTCAAACTAAGCACCACAGAGACACTTAATGGGATCTTTTAGAGTGAGCACTGAGTCCCATTGGGCTGAGTGTTTTTCTTTAATCTTCACTAATCTATAGAGGAACCACCTGGAACCCCATAAGATTGGGCCCCTAATATAGTCCGTGGCCTGTTGTGACCGATTTGTAAAACTTCTAAAAAGGTTACATGAATATATTGTCTCAAAAATTATATAATTAGAAGTTATAATTCAGATTCCATGATAATATCTTTGAGCTTTAATAAATATTAAATTAAAACTATATATAAGTTTATTTTTAAAGCATCTTAAGAAAAAATAGGATTAAATAAAAAAATCTGATTTAAATAAAAAATCCATTTGTGTTTTTTTTTTTTTTAATTGTTGACTTTTATCCACCCTCGTTTGTAAAGCATGTTAGGACCTTGTAGGATGAAGGCTGGAATAAATTGCTTTGATATTGCCACTTATGGTAGGCTTAACTTTTTTTTGTCTTGGTACTTTGGGTACTTTTCCCAATGCTGCTTGCATTTCAAAAGATACTCTGTATACCCTTTGACTGCCCCCAAGAAGTTGGAATCAAATACCTTTTATAATGCCCTGTTTGGTATAATTAGGCCTCCCTAAAGAATGTCAAGAGGTGATGTGGAAGTACCGTAGATTGCAGCATCTTTCAAGGATTTCCTTAGAACAGAATAATGTTTTCTAAACACTTTCACTTTGTACTTTTTCTGCTGGACTCTGCCCTGCATTTTTATTCCTTTGGAAATGGTCTAGCCGGGCATGGGATCATTCTGTCTTAATTTTTAAAAGTTTACATTATGTGATGGACCCTATAACACCAGCTGCATCTGATCGGAGTGGAAGAAATTTCAGTGTAGGTGCATCAAAGGAAAAAAATGTAAATATCTATTTGCATTTCCAAAACTCTTTGTTGTATTGCCTAGAGCAGTGATTCTCAACCAGGGTGCCCTGCAGTCCCCTCAAGGCTGATGCAGGGTGCCACACAAAGTTAGCAGTGTTAGGGTTACAAACATGATTTCTAAAAGAAATCCATAGTTGTGGTCTTTCTGCATTCTTTGCAATGCTCAAACTACTCTATTATTTTTCTTGTAATCAAAAAAAGAGGTAAAACTAAATCGGGATTTTCTGAGGGGTGCTTTGAGTCTATCCAGATGTGACTTGAGTCTAAAAAGGTTGTGCCACTGGCCTAGAAGCATTTTTTTTCTTCACTGAACAGTGAATAAACTTCTCTTGAATGCTGGTTCCAGGTGAATAGTTAGTTATATGCCAAGAGTAATAAAAGCATCTGGGCTTGCAGCACGTGTCTGCACGGATAAGTGGTTCTGAAGGAAGTTATTAAGTGGATCAGCCAAGCTCAGCACTAGCTAGTCGTATACATCAGATCAAGTAAGCAGGAGACATTTTGGGGGGGAAGGTGAAAGGAGCTGTAGGTTGATTGGTATTTAGTAACATTTAAGATGGCTGTCTTTGCTGAGCCATATGGTCTCTCCTCTTACTCAAAGAAAAAAGAGAGAGAAGGAGTATAGCTAACAACTCATAGAAGTGTGTGTCATGTTGTAGCTGGAACTGTGTTGCTGTGGAGATAAAGGTCATATTCTGGCACTCTTTTGAATATAGAGACTTTCAAGCTGATATTGTTTTAATTCTAAAGCAGAATGGTTCAAAGAGAAACCTTGATAAATGAAAGGATTTTTTTAAGCACGAGTCACTTTCCAGTTCTCTCATTAGCAGGGACCAATTTATTCTTCCCTTGTATCAAAGACTGCTGCTTTTAATATATGATGCCCTATTTCCATACATTAACTGAGCCTTCCTCCTGAATTCTTGTAAATGACTTTTATGTACAGGTCTTATAGCTAACTCCATTTTAAACCGACAAGGCTGATTTAACTCGTGCTTAAGAGTTCTGAGTTCTCCGATAGTTCATATCTGTTAACACTATTGCAATTAAAACCTTTTATTCCTCTTCTAAATTAATCAGATTTATTCAGTTATTTGAAAAGCGTGTCTCATTAATGCATAGCGTATAAAACAAAATGTTATTGTAACCTCCTTTTTAAAAATTCCTCTTCATTTCTAACTATGACCACAAGCCTTTGACCACTGCTGCTCTTAATCTCAATGTTTCACTGTGGGTATAATGATGAGGTTCAAGTAGAACAGTCTAACTGGTTCGCTTCTCCGGGTCAGTGGATTAGCTACTGTTGTAATCCTGTGTTTGTGACGTCATAATAACTTCCATGGAAACAGCCAAGAACACCATATTGTGCCATTCCCGAGTCATGTAAAAGGAATTTGATTATAGGAGGAGAGTTTCTATTTTAAATACATCCTGATAAATAAGTGCTGGGAAAAGAAGTTAAAAACGCTAACAGTTTAGGTTTTGATGCATTCTGGGCGTATCTACATGAGACGCTACTGTGCATAGGTGGGTGCTAACCATGATATGATGCTACTGCACAGTAGTAATCAGCTCCTAAGCAGCAGCATCTGGAAAAAAAGAACATTACTATGCAGTCATTTAGTACTTGCTTATGCAAATAATAAATGACTGCGAAGTCTGCTGCCTATGCAGGTGCAGCCTCTTTCATTCATCCCAAAGGCTACCACCCAATAGTAGTCTGCTGCTGAAAGAAACTGTGAACTATGACCTCTTAGCACACTATAATTAGCATGGGTCCTAGTGACTCCAACGTGAGATTTTTACACAGTTGAAGTGTGTTTTTTTCTTCCCGTTACCACTTTGGTGTCTCTTATTTGCAGAGTGTTTTCTGCTTACATTAAGGAAGTGGATGAAAAGCCAGCCAGCACACCATGGGGCTCCAAGATGCCCTTTGGTCAGCTAATGTCAGAGTTTGGTGGTGCTGGAAGTGGTGGATGGGTGCACAGTGTCAGCTTTTCTGCCAGTGGTAACCGCCTCGCCTGGGTCAGCCATGATAGTACCGTGTCAGTTGCTGATGCATCAAAAAACATGATGTAAGTGTTCTTTTTTATCTTTGTTTTTAACCATCTGATGTGAGGGCAATGCAAACAACCAGTTGTAACACAGGCAATGAAGCTGTCATTTCCGGGATTGTTATATCCAGGTCTGGAAGAATTTTAGTGTGTAAAACTGTCCCTGGTGCCTATTCAGGATGGCTCTTAAAAATTAAAGAAAAGCCATCTTCCCTCTCTTACTGCCTCCCCTGCCCCACCTTTTTCTCTCCCTTTTGGGGAGTTCCTACAGCAGTGCAGTTTCTTTGTTTTTGAAACTAATGCTGGTGAGAAACTCTGTTCCCTTGTGGAATGGCTGTAAGAGATTTGAGAGCCTTCCTAATTCTTTACACATCCACTCCTTGTTTGATGGTAGTAGCAGGAGCTTTGGGAATAAGCTGTTTGTTCCACAAAAGCTCCATTTCATACCTGTCTTCTTAACACTTTATTTATTAACAAGGCTTATTACATTCTCCAACCCGATAAGAAAAAAAATACATATTTTACTGCCTTTCTGTATTTGTATAATCTAAAGACAGTTTTACAGCTCCGCTCCCTTCTCTTCAGAATGGAGAGAGGAAATCTTTCTTTTCTGGGGTTTGGTGAACAGAGAGATCTAGAAGATAATCCAGGCACAGCTGTGTTTAATTCTGATATGGTGATGAACGCAGTATAAATAGAAAGATGGTTAAATAATACTGGTGATCTAGGACATCAAAAATATGGCCTGTTAGTTCATTTTCTTTGAATTTGTTGTAAATGTGAAAGATGAAGTCCTTTAATGTTGTCAAAAATGCCCAGCTACTCCCTTTTGAAAGGGAAACTACCAGGTACCTTAACCACTGTTTTAGTTCTTGGTGACTTCATAGAAATGTGACTTTTTGTCTTCCCAGTTTGGGCCTTTTCTGTTTAGGAAATATCATCATTGCTGGAAGTTAATGTTTACCCTACTGTCTCTGCTTGCATGCAGAAAGCTATATAATGTCAACTCTCAGCCTGGAAAACCTTTTCCAGTTAAAACTGGCTCCTGCTACTGGCTACATAACAACACAGTATAAAATACTGTGGGATTTTTATAGACATTGACTACTGTCTTTTTGTATTCTCTTCATTAATTTCCTGGGGCCATGACATTGGTTTAAGGCAGCAATAGATTGTATAGGACACTTCCACTAGGCTAAAGCTACTTGTAGGTAAACCACAACCTGCTTGTGTCACTTTAATGCATCATCTTATAGTAACTGGGTTTATACTGACTTCTGTCCTAGTAGCCGTGTCTGAGAATGGGCCCTTTTGTATCCTTTGAAATGAAAGAGGAGTTTCCATGAAGCCTGCCTTTAACAATGTTCTTATGTTTTAGGGTTTCACAGCTGAAAACAGAGTTCCTCCCACTCCTGAGCGTATCATTTGTCTCTGAGAACAGCGTGGTGGCAGCTGTAAGTGTCTCTTGTTTTCTCATTGTAAAATGTGGTAGTGCTTTAGCAAGAGGGTAATGCACACATTATGGAGTGAGACAGTAATAATAAGCTCTTCAAAAGCATCTCAGCATTAACTGCTTTGCAGCAATGAGGTCTAGAAGTAAGGACTCTGCTTCTAATTAGCTAGATGCATATTTTTCCTTGATGTGTTTTAATGATATCTCTTTGCAGGGTCACGATTGCTGCCCTATGCTCTTTAACTGTGATGAACGTGGTTCCCTGACCTTCATTTCCAAACTAGACATTCCAAAACAGAGCATCCAACGCAATATTTCTGCTATGGAACGTTTCCGAAACATGGACAAGAGAGCCACTACAGAGGATCGCAACACTACTTTGGAGACGCTGCACCAAAACAGCATTACGTGAGTGCCTGGGCATCCAGAACACTTTGGTTTGCAGCACATATTTGAGACTTTCTAAAGGTCTTGAATTTGTGATACCGGATCAGATACATGTTCCAGGCCTTATCTTATGCTGACAGTTGCCTATTCTTAGTACTTCGTAGGAAAGTAAAATGTCTTATTGTACCAGGCGAATTCTGTGGCTCTGTGCACAGGTGGTGACTATTGGGAAGCATCTTTTCAGACATCTTGGGCATGCATCACATATCATGAATGAAGAGATCTAGTTGCTCCAGTTTTTTCCATAATTTGATGAAAGTAAATGGTTAACATTTGTACACATCATTTCCATTTACTCAGATGTCACGATTGTCACAATTCAGAGCTGTAGTATATGATTTATATGTTGAATCAAGGACATTTACTTAGAGCTACCAAACCCAGAAAGAAAAATTACCTAACAAATCATCTCCTATTGTCTCATTTAAAAACTTATTTCAATGTTTATGATTCTTCAAACAAGTGAATACAAGTTAATCATATGCGATGTTCCTGTTGGTGCCTGAAGTTGTGCACAAAAGGCACCCATTTCTAATGCAAAGATTGCTTAAATTATACATGCCTTATAATAACGCTGGGTGCTTTTCCACATCTCTCAAGTGCTACCTCCCATCCTCCTGCCTTGGCAGAACTGCTTAGCTGTTCTCGCTCCTTGAAGACATGAGGCAGGGAACTGTCTTTCAAGTTCAGGTTCCAAAATAAAGCTGACAAAAGGGTTCCAGGCAGACACTGCGGTATCCTTTTCATGTAGTGCTTTGCCTGCTTTTCTTTTCCAAGGAGTCTGTCAAAATCTGGCAGAAGGCATATGTGAAACTCATGTCACTCTTCTTTGGGGAGAACAAGGATAGAGCATTTCTCAAAGCCGTACATATCCAGTGTTCTGAAACACATTTCATGTTGCCTGCTACTTTCTGGTGCTCTAGTTTTCAGGGCTGTCTCACAGCTGTCGCTTCTTTGTTTTTCAGCCAAGTGTCTATTTATGAGGTAGACAAACGAGATTGTCGCAAGTTCTGCACCACTGGCATTGATGGAGCAATGACCATCTGGGACTTCAAGGTAGGCTTTTATTACTTCGTGCGACCTGGGTGCAGTGTTAGTCGCTTTGTTTTTCTCTGGGCATTGCCTCTAATGTAAACTGTATTAGTACTGGGGACTCTAGACTCTGGCTCCTTAGGACTGTTTAGAAACTTCTTAGGGAAGATAAATCCCAAAATCAACAAACGCAGAAGTATTTTGCTGAGCAGATGGTGCTAATCCAGACTAATTTTCTCCTGGGACCTCTCATATCCCTAAAGAATCCTGCTAATCCTCTTCTCTTTCCAACCCCCATATTTCTTCAGATTTTGGCTACAAGTCTGGTGGCTAAGGAGGGCAGAATAATTGTTGGAGCAACAAGAAGTCCACAGTGCCTTTCTTTTTTTCTCCTTCCCGTGGCACTGTGCTTAATGTCTTTGCAACACCCAGAGTCCACAGAGATTTTTTTTTCTTTGAAAAGAATGAGTGGCAAGAAAGCACCTGGGGAGGAGGGGGGAGGGATACAGGAAACTTAAGGTGGAAAAGCCTGAACGGCTTTAAATATTTCAAGCTTCTAGGCTGATTTTTACTTGTTTTAAAACAACAATGACATTCTTCATGGAAAATAGAGGTTCTGATTACATTTTCAGCACAAGATCCCATAGATTGCTACCTGCCCTTCCCACAGTAGGTTGCCCTACTTATTAGAAACATAGCTGGAACATATTAGGAGTAGGGCTCCATCAATTTTATGTTTCCCTAAAAAACTTTACACGTGCCCTCTTCTCTGCCAGAGGTGCTTCTGTCAGGCTAAATGTCCTCCAGGTTTCCTGTTCTACTGCTGATAGGCCGGCAGATGTCACTCTTGGCCTACTCGCCCTCTAGTTGAGGGCTAAACGCACAATTTTTGCAAAGGAGCTGTTGGTTGCTTTTCTGCTGGTGGCTGAGGCCCTGGACCAGGGTTGGGGCCAAATGAGGGAATTCTATTTTGGGGAATTGAGATTAGATTTAATCTTTCTAAAAAGTGCTTTAATCCATTTTCTGGAAAAAAATTGATGTCTTATGTAGCTGGGAGCTCAGAACAGATGATCAAACTGATCCCTTCTGGCCTTAGGATATGAATTTAAGGAACCAGAATCTCCTGTTTTTCTTTGTCTTGTTCCATCATATATTTTTGCTTGAAGGCCTGAATAAATTTAACACAGGATGCTGATTAACATTTCCTCTCTCCCAAGACCTTAGAGTCCTCTATCCAAGGTCTACGAATCATGTAAAGACGAATCTCCGTTATCTAGCATGACAGACTGCTTGACAGAATGCAGCTCCAGCATCTGCAAAGACCTGACAAGGGATGAGGAAGGTGGATCATTTGGAAGCTCTGAGAAAATATGGCTTGGCAGATTTCCTTTGAAATATAAATTTGGTGACGTGTTGGTTTCAAAATCAGCTGTGATTGTCTTTTTTTTTTTTTTTTTTTTTGGTTGTTTCATTCCATACTTTACCAAAGCTGCTCCTTAAGTAGTTTATTGCAGGAAGTTATGAATCACTAACTTAAAAGGGGAATTTTATGTAAATTGTCTGCTAGAAATTAAAAAGAAAATACAGAATGTGTCTGTAGTTTGATTCCTCATTAATGATCACTGAAATAGGGCTGAGTGCATGGTGGAGGGGAAGAAACATTGAAGGGTTCTTCTCTCTCAGCTGTTGGAATTCCCCCTTTTCAGTTAAAGGCTTTTTGCAAATTTCTTGGTAAGGATGAATCCAACCAGACCTCTTTCCAAAGGAAAATCCTGCTTGTGGAAAGTTGTAATTTTAGACGCTGAAGACTGTTTCACTGGTTATTTCCGGACTGGGTGGTCCTGTCTGCCTTGGCACTTAACAAGGAGTAATTGTAGCAAATTAAAACCAAAAATCCTTTCATTATCAGCTTAGGCAGGATTTAGTTCTCTGAAGGTAAATTAAATGACCAGGATTATCTGTAATTGCTTTCTAGGACTGTGCAGGACAGCTTCTCAGATATTGTCTTAGACACTGCGTGCAGCTATGCAAGCACGTGTGCACATACGCATGCACACACACAAGAGAGAGTGAGAGAGAACGTTCAACCTTTTATGATCAACATGGAAATGTGGCTTGTTAAACAGTATAGACATGGTGCCAGCTTCTTCCTCATACAACTAAAGTCATCTTGGACTGGCTATATTTGTAGTTCCAAGGCTTGATTAGCTATGAGATTTAGTTATGCATAACTTTTACTGTGCCCACGTTTGGTTTAAAATACTGTAGATTTCAGAGACATCAGGGCTGGAAGGGACCTTGAAGATCATCAAGTCTAGCCCCCTGCCTAAGGGGCAGGAAGTCAGCTGGGGTCACAGGATCCCAGCAAGATAAGCATCCAAACGTTTCTTGAATGAGTCCCGAGTAGTTGCTTGCACCACTTATGGAGGGAGTCTATTCCAAGCCTTGCTGTGAGGCTGGCAGTGCTGCTAGGGGGATTATCTTGCTCTGAGCCATTTGAATTGCCTCTCTCATGGTTTGGGAGTTTTGCATTTTCAGCGTAAGAGATGAAGAAGTGTAAAAAAAACCAAACCAAACAAACAAAAAAAACCCCAAAAACCCCACCCCAACAAAAAAAGGCTGACTAAATTTACCACTTCCTCTGAAACAGTCCGTAGCTTGATAACGCTGCTCATTTCTTGCCTTTAAATGGCTGGAAAGGTAGAGTGAAGGAGTTCCCACAAGGCCTGGGGCCTCTGCATACTTGCCAGGGAACTACATCTGACTCAAAGATGGACCATTTGTGGTAAGGTCTCTGACAATTACAAAAATGCCATTTCTCTGGAGTCTCCTTTATCTTTGCTGTTTCCCGTACCACCTGCTGCCCATTTTGCAATTTTTACCCCCTCTCAAAAACATAATATCATGGGTTGGTGTGAGCTTGTTCAGCACCTTCTCCAAGTCCAGCAATTTGCAAAGTGCGATAACCAATTTAATCCTTAGTTCACCACACTTTCTTAGCAGGTGTCATCTGAGACTGTGCTTTAAATAGTGGTGAAATAAACCTGTGACGTGACTGTTGTATAGACATTATCATAGAAATCCTATCATAGAAATTACCTTGAAAGATCAGAGTCCAACCCCCCTGGTCTGGGTCCCCTGTTGTAGATGGGGAAATTGAGGTACAGGTCTTTCAGAACTTTTCGGACCAACAGTGGTCCATGGACCACAGGTTGAAAACCACTGCCAAGTATTAATTGTTGCAGGCACTGCCAGAGGGAGATTGAACATGCTGAAATGATGGCACTGATGTCCTGTCAGTGTCCTGACTGCTTCCTGCGGGTCTTTCAGAGAAGAATTCAGGTCTCTACTTGCTAAAAGCCTTTCACAAGATGCTGTTGGGTGGAGGCCATAAAAGAAGGGGGGAGGGGTTGTCAAAGGTAAAGCACTTCCATGAAAAAAAATTGATTTTGGAAGAATTCACTCCAACAATTCAATGGTCCATTTCAGACATGAAAAATGTGTCACGGTGGAATGTCCCAGGAGTCTGTATTTATGACGGTTGTTTAAGATATTTCATCATCTTGAAAACAGGGTGAACAGTGATAAAAGCTGAATACTGCCAAATAATTTAGGTTCCTCAAGGCAAGAGAAAACAGCCACTGTAGGAAGCTAATCCAACTGGCTGCACTGGGCATCACAATCACAGACCAAATGAGCTGCAGCCAAGTACACTGGGTGGAATACACTGAACCAGCACTATCGGCCGGCCAAGCTAACGGAAACCATTCAAAGACCATAAAGGTGGAACTCTGCTAAGATATGTAGGGGTAGCTGAAAGCAACCAAATGATTACATGAGGAATGAGATGGAAAAGAGCAAAACTTGCAATAATACATACGGCTGGATGCTGGTCACCCTGGGTAGACAAGGTTCTTTGGGTGAATCTGATATCTTTTATTAGACCAACTTAAATAGTTGGAAAACAATTATTAAGCAAGCTTTTGGGTTCAATAACCCTTTGTCAGGCTAAGGAAGTTTCAGCGGTTAGGTTGTAGGAAGAGCACACGCCACACCCCTGGTCACCTTGGGTCACATTTTCAAAAGTGTTCTGGTGATTTAGAAGCTTAAGTGTCTGTGGAGCAAAATGAGATTTAATTTCCCAAGCCCATTGGATGCTGCTGGAAGTGTTATCCCTCATTTCCTAAAAGCTGTAGCAGACACCAGGGTTCAGAAATAGATGGCACAGATGAAAGGGTGTGAAGAGATTCTCTGAAGGCAGAATGGAAAGCTAGAAAGCAGTGCCCCTGTTGAACAAGCTCCACTTACAAAGGAATGAGCAATCTTATCAGCTTATTGTCCTACACCCCACCCTGGCTGTAAGACTATACTGCTGCAGCGGGTTTATTGTCAGCTGATTATGTGTGCATCCTGCTCGGTTGTCTGCGTGTCTTCCTGAGCTGGAACTGGATCCACAAGGAGCATAAACAGACACAGAGAAATTGCAGCATTTCAAGCTGTTACTTGGTGAATACCTTCCTGAAACGGGAATAGAAAGCTCTGCCAGTTGGCTGTGGAACGTCAGGTGAGTTGAGTGATGTGTGTGACCTGCCGTGAGCCCCTTTCACTTGGATTTCCATGAGATTCCTTGCAGTAGGGATTAATACGGCCACGCAGAATGTCATTTCAAATCCAGTTTGCTTTCCACTACGCAAGAAGTCAGTTATACGGTTGGGCCAAGTATCAGGAGCAGACAGCCTTCATCTTGCTTCCTGCAAGAGTCCAGAGCTGTCAGAACGGGCAGCCTGATCTTGACTTTATGCTCCTAATTTGCTCACCCCACATCCTGTGATACTTCCTTCAGTAAATCAATCTCCTCTTGCTTGCGTTATGCACGGGCATGAGTGCCAGGCAGGCTACGGTCAGGCCTGAAGCAAAACGGCTGAGCCACTTTCAACAAGTGGCTCCTTTCCCTGCACGTGTAACTCATTTGTTGCAGCTATAATGGAAAGTGCTTTGGCTTCGTTATGATTTTGCCTGTAGCAACTCTGTGAAAGAGCTCTTGGTCTCTGAAGGAGCTGTAGTGCTGGCTGGGCCTTGTGCATTCAGCTGATCAAATTACAGGGCTTTGAACTACAGCGTGTTGAAAACGGAGGATGGAGCCAAGTGGGTATGACAACTTAAAATTGAGCCCATGATTTTAGATTCTGATCATTTTCATTGTGCTCTTGCTTTCTAAGTGGGCTTCCAGCTTAGGTGGATCTTCTTTTCCTGTCCTCATCCTTCACAGGCTTCTGTCCATCACCCTCTCTTCTGAAACTTTTCATATATTGCTTTCTTCTGGCCTGAACCTTTTCCTGCCTGCTCTTCAGGCATCCTGGCTACATGCCCAAACATCTCATTATGTTGGGAGCCTTTGTTGGGCCTGGGCAGTCTGTTCTATTTTCTTATCTAGAACAAAGAGGTCTTGGGCCTCCCAAGCACAACTACAGTAGAAGCAAGAGTAAAGGTATCTCAAGGTGCAACCAGATGATGGATGTCATAGCTCAGGCTTGATCATCTGTTTGGGGCTGAACAGGCTGCAGGGGTCTGAGCCTTCCTCTGAGCATTGTATTAAGCTCTGTAGAAGTCCTCATCAAAGTTTAGGCAGCTAGAGCCACCAAATTGGCCCTGCCTGATTGTAACCACTGCTAGGCATGTGAAGAGGGAAGGAATCAGGGTGGTGTTGAGGATTGCCGATGCTGCCTCTGGAAGCAAACAGCACAGTGCACGTGTGATACATGCTTGTAGCTTGCCCTGTATAATTGAGGTGCGAGCCCTACTATGGGAACAGCATTCATGCTCCATTTTACTGGGGTTAGGCTGGGCTGAGGGAGCGGAGCCAGACCAGCTAAGTAGTTTGGCCAAGGTGCACGCAGTGATTCAATGGCAGAGCTAGGACTAGACCCCAGGAGCCCTGGTACCCATCCCTTCTGCTAGCAACCCCCACTTACTCTCCTGCAAGTTAGACAGCGCCACGGTACCCTGGAGAAACACTAGGTTGTTCCAGGAACCGTGCATATGCTGCAGTGCCTGTTTTCTGTCCTTGTGAGTTGCAAAAGAGCTGAAGAAGCATAGCAGGAACCCAGTCATGATCAGAAGCAATGAGGAAGTGCAATAGCAGATAGGGAACTGTGCAGGGTGATATTCTTAGCTCTGCTACTTTGAGAGAGGGGTTCCTTGCTGCAGAAATGAAGCTGACCTGTCATTTGTTCTCAGCCATGACCGTGCAGCACCGAAACATGCTGAAATGTTACAGGCAGATGGGTATTCTTAAACACGGGCATATAGGGGAGAGCCTTCTTGTCTGGTGCTGGAATAAACCTGCTTTCTTTCTCAGGTCCCCCGTGACTGGTGATTAGCTGCACTATTCCTGTAGCCCGAGATGCTCTGGTTGCAAGGAAAGGGACTCAGCTTACGGATAGCCGTGTTCAGGACAGGGCTCCCCAGACAACAGCTCGAAGCAGCACAGCTGAGGTACAGCAGCTTCTAGCTACCAGCAGGACAGCGTGAGGTTTGAGGACATGAAACATCAGGTGAACTACAGCTCTCGGTCTTGAAGTATCTGTTGGCCTGGGTGGTCGTGCATTACGAATCAAATCGGGTGGTGAGGAGTGGGGCAGCTGCCAGCACGTCTAGGAAAGTTTTGTACTCTCCCAGCCCATGTAGCCAGGTCAGTTATGTGCATCTGAAACAGGGAGGCCTGCTGCCAGGCTAGTCTTGGAGCCATCCCATCGTGGGGGCTGCAGTGGTGGTGTCCCCCCAGCTTAGGCTGCTGCAGTGCTCCGTGCCTCCTGCAGGCACTGTGCTATTGGGTTCAGCTGGGATTCTGCTGGAGGGGGTGAAGATGAATGGAATGGGGAAGCAGTCAGGACACTCTGGTAGGACATCCATACCATCATTTCAGCATGTTCATCCCCCCTCTGGCAGTGCCCATGGCAATTAATACTTGGCAGTGGTTTTCAGCCTGTGATCCATGGACCCTTGGGGGTCTGCAAGCCACATCAAAGGGGTCCATTAAAGATGACTGATCAATCAAAAGTATGTAAATACCGACACTTACAATTCAAAGGGGTCCGTACCTCCATTTGAAATTTTTTAGGGTTCTGCAAATGAAAAAAGGTTGAAAACCAACCAGTGCTATACAGCATTACACAGGTTGGCTGTGGACACTTTGGTGGTGACTGCTTTGGGAATGCATGTTGTAGGAGTGAGCAGAAAATCCTGTCAGTGTATTATTTTGTGCCTTTGATCACACTCTGGTGGCTTTTCACTTGCTAGATAATTTAAGAAGGAAAGAAGAGACAATTTAAGGAGGAAGGGAGGTGGGGTCAGAGGAATCCCCTCCTGTATTATGATGAAAGCTATTTTAAATCCGTTATATGCTAATGAAGCGGGGCTTGGAAGGAACTGTAGGCCTCAACCATCCTTAAAAGAGCAGACTGCCCAAGTACACTGCTCTTTCAGCTGGTTGGCTTCAAAATGCGCAAATTGAGAGCATCCCTTTAAAGAGTTAGAGCCAATGTCTGCTAATCTTGCTCCAGATGTGGAGCACAACTGCAAGCTGTTTCCTCCAGAGACCGGAGTTCGGGATTCCAGGGTTCCTGGGCTGGCACTGACAGGGGTTGGAGCATCGGAGGAAGCTGTTTCCTATGCTGCTTTCACTCCTTGTAATAACTGTTGCAGAGGGGCGTAGAGCTCTGGTCGGGGCAAGTGGCTGCTGGAGGTGGTGGGGTGGGGGTGTGTGCATGACTTTTAGTGACTTTGCATGCCAATTATAGCCTAAAAGCAGCAGGGGAGGAGGTTGGGGTTGCTTTTGTCCTGTGGCTACTTTACACCACAGCATCAGAAGAGACCACAAGATACTTCTTGAGAATTGTTTCTCCACAACTTCCCCTTCCCCTCCACCCCCCTGCCACCAGCCTGGGGCTGCTCCAGAGCAGGCCAAGCC